TGGTCCACGCGGTGAAGTCCTCAACTTCTTTGAAGATAGTGGATTCCGATGCCCTGAAAGGAAAGGTGTTGCAGACTTTCTCCAGGAGGTAAAAAACCAAAGCTTTGTTCCCTACAATGAAACTTTTGTGCTTTGCAAGTCATGAGTTGTTGATCTTCTCTTGTTTTGCTCTGAAGGTTATATCCAAAAAAGACCAAGCACAATACTGGCGGCACGAGGATTTACCTTATAGTTTTGTCTCGGTAGAAATGTTGACAAAGAAGTTCAAGGACTTGAGTATTGGGAAAAAGATTGAAGACACTCTGTCAAAGCCGTATGATAGATCCAAAAGCCATAAGGATGCGTTGTCCTTCAGTGTGTATTCTCTTCCAAACTGGGAGCTGTTCATAGCATGCATATCAAGAGAGTATCTTCTCATGAAGAGAAACTATTTCGTCTATATTTTCAAGACATCTCAGGTACATTAAGAGTTTCCATTCCACAGATTTCTCTCCTTGTCTTCTTTAGATGTCGATAGTATTCCTGAGCTTTCTAGCTTTATGTGCGCAGCTTGTTATGGCCGCATTCATCACGATGACAGTGTTTATCCGAACACGGATGGGTATTGATATCATTCATGGAAATTCTTACATGAGTGCCCTCTTTTTCTCCCTCATTATACTTCTTGTTGACGGATTCCCAGAGTTGTCTATGACGGCTCAACGCCTAGCCGTATTTTACAAGCAGAAGCAGTTGTGTTTCTATCCTGCGTGGGCATATGCAATCCCTGCAACAGTGTTAAAGGTCCCTCTCTCGTTCTTTGAATCTTTAGTTTGGACCGGCCTCACATACTATGTCATTGGATACACCCCTGAAGCATCCAGGTGAGCTTTCCCTCTCTGTTACTTGGTACTTAAACCCTAGAAAAAGGCTCACATTCAAGTCTGGGAATGCTCAGTCAACATTAAACTGATGAAGTTTGATGTTCCAGGTTCTTCAAGCAGTTCATTCTACTCTTTTCTGTTCACTTCACCTCGATATCCATGTTCCGGTGTCTAGCTGCAATCTTCCAGACAGTAGTTGCTTCAATCACAGCTGGCAGTTTTGGTATATTAATCACATTTGTCTTCGCCGGTTTCGTCATTCCACCAAGTAAGATTTTGCCCCAATCCTGTGCCAAATCTTACCTCACAAGTTGTACCATTCAAGCATGACTCTAAGGTTCTGTGTTTCCTGCAGCTTCTATGCCAGCATGGCTCAAGTGGGGTTTCTGGGTAAATCCTTTGAGTTACGGTGAGATTGGATTATCAGTAAACGAGTTTCTTGCTCCACGGTGGAATCAGGTGATCTCTCTTAGTTTCTTACCTTCCTTTTCTCTCTTAATTACCCAAGCCCTTCGTTGTTTGGTATACTCTTCCATATTAATCAGTAAATTTCTGGTAAAACATGCAGATGCAACCCAATAATGTTACCTTAGGACGAACCATACTCCAAACCCGTGGACTGGACTACGACGGTTACATGTACTGGGTATCATTATGTGCCTTGTTGGGTTTCACTGTGCTCTTCAACATCATTTTCACTCTGGCTCTGACTTTCTTGAAATGTAAGTCCGTCATCATCTACTAAGTAAATGTATATTCTTTCAAAACACAATCGCCACATACTTAGACAGCCTTTACCAAATGACAGCACCCACATCATCTCGAGCCATGATTTCGCAAGACAAACTCTCAGAGCTGCAAGGAACAGAAAATTCAACAGACGACTCTTCTGTCAAGAAAAAGACCACAGATTCCCCTGTAAAGACGAAAGAAGAAGGTGAAAAATTTGTTGACTCTCTTCCTACTTCCTCCACCATTTTTTTATCCCACTAATACTTTCTCCTGACCACAGGCAATATGGTCTTACCATTCAAGCCTCTCACTGTAACATTTCAAGACTTGAACTATTTCGTTGACATGCCCGTGGTAAAACTATCATAACTCAAACTATAAACCATATCTCAAGATTTTCTCCATTGCTCTCTCGCTTATCTTTGATATTCCAATGATGATAACCCCAGGAGATGAGAGACCAAGGATATGATCAGAAGAAACTGCAGCTTCTCTCAGAAATCACAGGAGCTTTCCGTCCCGGAATCCTAACGGCATTGATGGGAGTGAGTGGAGCCGGAAAAACCACTCTCCTCGACGTTCTAGCCGGAAGGAAAACCAGCGGATACATCGAAGGAGACATCAGAATCAGTGGCTTCCCTAAAGTCCAAGAAACATTCGCTAGAGTCTCAGGCTACTGTGAACAAACAGATATTCACTCACCAAACATCACCGTCGAAGAATCCGTAATCTACTCCGCTTGGCTTCGTCTAGCTCCTGAGATCGATTCCACAACCAAAACCGTAAACCTCTTAATTCTCTCTTCTCTTCCTTTAAATCGACTCAAAATCAAAAGCTAAGTAACGAATCGTTGAAATCTGAACAGAAATTCGTGAAGCAAGTGCTTGAGACAATCGAATTAGATGAGATCAAAGATGCATTGGTGGGAGTCGCCGGAGTGAGTGGATTATCGACGGAGCAGAGGAAGAGATTGACAATTGCGGTGGAGTTGGTGGCGAATCCGTCGATTATATTCATGGACGAGCCAACGACGGGGCTAGACGCAAGAGCAGCCGCCATTGTTATGAGAGCTGTGAAGAACGTTGCTGATACTGGACGAACCATCGTCTGCACTATTCATCAGCCTAGTATCGACATTTTTGAAGCTTTCGACGAGGTAAATTGCAAAATTGTCTCAAAACATATAATTGTTATATTTCGACCCCAAAACTTATGCTCTTATCAACCAAGTACAAATTAACACTGAAATTAATTAAACTTGAATTTTCAGTTGGTGCTTCTTAAAAGAGGTGGTCGCATGATTTACACAGGACCATTAGGCCAACATTCACGTCATATTATCGAGTATTTTGAGGTAAATTTGTTTCAAATTTTCTTGTAATCTATGATTGTTTTTACCAAACATATGTTAACTTCTTTTTTTCTTTGGATTGAATAACCAGAGTGTTCCCGAAATTCCTAAAATAAAAGACAACCACAATCCAGCAACATGGATGCTTGATGTTAGTTCACAATCTGTAGAAGGTGAACTTGGTGTCGATTTTGCAAAAATCTACCATGACTCTGCCCTTTACAAGTGAGTAACCCTTTAAAACTTTGCATACAAACTGTTATTGTTCAAAAAATTTGGTTTTAATGAATCATGTGTTGATTATAGGAGAAACTCAGAGCTTGTGAAACAGTTGAGCCAATCAGATTCAGGATCAAGTGATATACAGTTTAAGAGAACTTTTGCACAAAGTTGGTGGGGACAATTCAGATCTATTCTATGGAAAATGAACTTGTCTTATTGGAGAAGCCCTTCTTATAACCTAATGCGTATGATTCACACATTAGTCTCTTCTTTGATCTTCGGTGCACTTTTCTGGAAACAAGGCCAAAATATGTAAGTGGAGAGTGAGATTCGAATGAGTAGATTGATTGATATGTCAGATTGCTAACATTTTGATTTGTGTTTTCTCGTTTGTAGAGATACTCAACAGGGTATGTTCACTGTGTTTGGAGCGATCTATGGTTTGGTGCTCTTCTTAGGGATAAACAATTGTTCATCAGCTATTCAATATATAGAAACAGAGCGAAATGTTATGTACCGCGAAAGATTCGCAGGGATGTACTCAGCGACTGCTTACGCATTGGGTCAAGTGGTGACTGAGATACCTTATATATTCATACAAGCCGCCGAGTTTGTGATCATAACATATCCAATGATCGGTTTCTATCCTTCAACATACAAAGTCTTCTGGTCACTCTACTCTATGTTTTGCTCTCTTCTCACTTTCAACTACCTCGCGATGTTCCTCGTCTCCATCACGCCAAACTTCATGGTTGCCGCGATTCTTCAATCGCTCTTCTATGTTAATTTCAACCTTTTCTCCGGATTTTTGATCCCCCAAACGGTAAGATCACCGATCCTCTTGTTTCTTAAACAAGAATCTTTACTAAGAAGAGTATGTTATTGTAATGTTTTCTTTTTGGTATATGAAAATTGCAGCAAGTTCCAGGGTGGTGGATTTGGTTATATTATCTAACACCAACGTCTTGGACACTAAACGGGTTTTTCTCGTCCCAATACGGTGATATTGATGAAAAGATCAATGTCTTTGGAGAATCCACGACGGTTGCAAGATTCTTGAAAGACTATTTTGGATTTCATCATGACCGTTTGGCGGTTACTGCGGTTGTTCAAATCGCTTTTCCCATTGCGTTAGCTTCTATGTTTGCATTCTTCGTGGGCAAACTCAACTTCCAACGAAGATGATCATGCCCCTTAGTCTTCATCATTTTAGAATAAACAAGTACTGCCTGAAAATAAACACAACTTGGTTTTTGTTCTTTCTTTTTTGGGTATGTATATGATTTTGAAGAAAGTAAACAAAGCATTCTCTATGCAAGTCAAATAATCAAATCTCAATTAAATCGACATACAATCAGTAATCAAAATTAACGTTTTGCATCTCAAGAATAGTCAGAAATAGTTAACTTGATTGATATGTAACGAAAACAAAAATGAAGATTTATGCATAAATTATATAGATAATAATAAACCATTAATTTTTTTTTTTAATTTGTACAAATGAATTTAAGTTACATAAAGGAATAATTTAGAAATATGCTTGGCTAATAGTAGTATTTATAAAATCATTATCTTTATTAAATCATAATGTTCTTAATTTTTATCTGTAAAAATTTAATATCCTACTTTTTTTTGTCTTAATATTACTTCTGTTTGGCAAATTAAATAAAAGCTTTGTAATATAGTTGGTTGACATATAAATTAGTATAAATCAGAAAACCAAAGCGGTCAACACAAGAGGCTCGGTTTGTTCCTTTCTTCTTCCTATACGAAGACGGTACGCATTTCTCCAACGCCATAGCCAAAAGCTCGACGAGATCCAACAGTGCCTCCTGATCTGCATCGTTTTCGATTAAGCTTCTCCTATCAATCGAAAACCCTTATGATACATTGATCGGATTCGATCGAGCGATTCGACACGAAATCGCGATGTCAATCCGAATTCCATCAGCTTCTTGGGATTTTCGCGGTTTCCTACTCTTTTTCATCTTCTTCAGCTCTTTCCCTGGTAAAAAAATTGTCTCGCTTCTTGTAATTACTCTGATTTCGTCCTTTTTAGTTTTTGAATATTTTTCCAGGATTAGTGATTTTAGTTTCATTTTCGAATTGGGGAAGTGTTTCGTTGCTCGTGTAATTAATAGATGATACTTGACGATGATTCATTGTTTTGATCTTCAGGAACAATATTAACACAAGAAGTTACACTTGATTCGATTCGGATTTTCACGACTCACGATTGGTTCTCGACTAAGCCTACAGTCTATTTCCAATGCAAAGGAGAGAACAAGACGGTGTTGCCTGATGTGAAGAGAACCAATGTTTCTTATGCTTTCAATGGTGAAGAATCTTGGCAGGTTTGTCTTTTTTTTTTCTTTCTAAATGTAGCTGGTATAATGCTGATATGGTTTTGATTATGTCGTTGAATTTGATAGCTCTAGTAAGAATTTAGATATTGTTTGGTTTTGTTTGATCTTCAATTAGGAAAAAAGAGCTGCCTTCTTAGCTATTGACTGATTTCCTTGGGATTGTGGTGGTTATATAGTTTTGATTGCTGAGTCTGCTTCAGAGATCTCAGGATTGCCTTTGATTTGTTTTGTAAACAACCTGAATCTGCTCCGGTATAAGAGGTGTTTAAATCGAAATAGTTGGTGGAATTGTCTCTTCTTTTGTGAAAAATCGAGTTAACAGGCAAACAAATTGGCTGTCTTATGTTGAAGGTTAGTATTATCATCACTGTCTTTTGAACTCTAATTTCCGTTTTTTTTTTGGATATTTTTCAGCCATTAACCGAACTGAAAGGAACAAAATGCAAGAGATGTGGAATCTATGAGGACGACCCCCTTAAATATGATACATTTGACGAATGGGAGCTTTGTCCTTCTGATTTCACAGCAGAAGGTAGTTACAAGCGCGAAAAGGAGAAAGAATTTAATGCTACTTTTCTTTGCCATGGATGCTCACAAGTAGGAGCTGGTAAGTTACCAAGCAACAAATCTTGAACTTTAGGGTCATTCATTACATGAATACTGTTTCCTCCAACTATAAAGAAAATCTCTCTCACATGTGTCTCTGTTGGCTGTAGCCTCAGTTTGAATCTGTTCTCTGTGATTAGGAATATCATATGCATCTTTTTCTTTTCTACAGGTTCGAATAAAGAATCGGGCACTGAGAAGGAAGAAGAAAAGGGTGGTATGCATCCTGCAATTGTGGTACTGATTGTAGTACTCTTGTTAGGTGTAATTACGGTGGGACTTTTGGTAGGTTACAAGTATTGGAGGAAGAAGAAACGGCAACAAGAGCAGGCCCGGTTTCTCAAACTGTTCGAAGATGGTGACGACATTGAGGACGAACTTGGCCTTGAAAATACCCTATGAAGCCAAGTTCAGTGTGGCACAGTAACTCTAAGTTCCCTCTATGTACATACATACAGAGCTTCTTCATCCACCTCACAATCATTTTTTTGTGTTGGTCTGAAATAGAGAGAGGAGACAAATGATACAATGATACAAAGAAGCATTTGCTTCATACAAAGACAAAGTCAGTGTTGTTATTTCTTTTGTCATAAATGTTTGACAATTAAAGAGGCTAAAAGAATTAGACTGCGATTGTTAAATCTTTTTTCTTTCTCAAAATATTTTGCAAATTCTAAACATCACAGGAGCCAAAAACAAAGACACTATGAGGTGCTTTATTCTTACTTAACGATCCACAAGTGAGGTACTTCATCAATTGTTGTTTATTACTAAACAATGAAAAGTAACATCGCAGAGTTTAAAAGTTGTCGGAAAACAAACCAAAAGAGTCATCAAAGAAGTAAATCCAGCATTGTCACGCAACCAAAAAGGAAAGTATCAAGCAGAAAGAAAGGGAAAGGAAACAACATCCATCAGTACACAATGCTTCATAGGGCTTTAATCTGTGAGCCATCAAGGTGACTCACTGCCTTTAGGGGAAGGACGGTTAAGCTCAGCCTCATCATCCATGGGACTCCTGTCTTGACCATTAAGTCCAACAGGACTTTCATCACCTCCAACAATGGGACTCACAGAGTTCCTGCCATTACCATTCTCTTTTGGGCTACCATCATACTCTGATCCACGCTTTGGGCTCGCATCTATCACCTTTCGGTCTGGGCTCAGGCTTCGATCCCTGCCTTTAGGAGACAAAGATCGCTCCACTGCCTTAGGGCTGCGTGATCTATCCTCCACGCTTTTCTCTCTTCTCACTGGGGATCGCGATCGACTGATAAAAAGAGAAATAAAGAGTCAACCAAAGGGTATAAGCCAATAATACCGTGTAAAATTAGTGTTGTCATCAACGTACTAATAGCCTACAAAGTAAGAATCATTTCTACACTGCTAGGGAAAATAGTTGTCTAATGTCCAAATTTACCACTGACCTGTAGCTGCGACCCCGACTGTAACTACGGCTACGGCTTGGGCTCCTTCGGCGACGAGGGGAGCGGGATTTGACTGGTGACCTGGAATAGCTTCCACCCTGCCTGGAGAATTATAATCCAAAAGAGATATCAGAAGAAGCTTAAAGGATAGAGCAAACTGTGAAAAACAAGGATTCAAAGATTTAGTACCTGGCCTTCTTTGGACTAGGACTGTTCTTGCAGTTTCTCTCGATGTGTCCTCTTTCTCCACAGCGGTAACATTTATTCTTCCAGTCTCCTGCTGTGCAGTCTCGGGCCCAGTGACCATCAACACCACAATTAAAACAGCGACCAGAACCAGGAGGAGGGCCTCTGCTACCATTGTCTCGAGAACCACGAGGCGCCTATCATAAATTTAAGAGTTTTGGTACGATATCAGTAATTTTGTCATCCAAATCATCAAACCAAAGGAGGCATCAGTAATATAGAGACACAAATAACTAACCCCTCTTGATGCCTCCACAGTGATGCGACTTCCATCGAAATCGCGTCCATCCAGGTAATATCTTGCGTCATCAGCATCCCGAGGATCACTAAATTCCTGTTCTCAAAATGTGAGGGCCAATGATAGATGCATAGTATATAAAAATGTTTGTGCACATGACAAACTTGAAAATCAAACCCTTGAATAATATGGATAGTATCAAACTTACAACAAAGGCATAATCACGCTTCATATCCACATCTCGTACTCTGCGGAAATTGTTGCCAGAAAATCAAGGCCATCATTACTTAAGGAACTTCCAAACACCAGTTTTTGAGATTTGAGTCCATTCTCAATAAAAACATGCAATAAATCAACAAACAAAATCGCCGATGCACCCTCTATACACCAGACGAGAATTTCCACCAATTACACCAAGTCCACCCATTCATCAAACATCTCCAGGTTAGGCAAACCCCCAGAAACCTTCAACAAGATCATTCAAGTTAAAGAAAAAAAAATCCACTAAACCTAGATCCAGAATTCCCCCACATGGATGAAAATACCAATGCAAAGTTATAAGTAGCAAGACAAAAAAGAAAAAACTATCCTCCTCTTTGATTCTAATGTTAACTTTAGGTATATACCCCCTGCACAATATCAAAGAGGAATCATTCCAGATTCACCCCAAAGAACAATCAACAAAATTCTCACACTTATTTCCCCAAAAACACAAAAATCAAATTAGGTCAACCAAGACGAGAATAAGACTCTTTACCTTCCGTATCTGCTAAAAAGACGTTCAAGGTCTCTGGTACGAGTTCTAGATGACAAGCGACCAACATAGAGGCGAGTGTTTCCATAGCGATCATCATAGCGAGGCATTGTCAAGCTGCAAAATTTACAACATAATCTATCAGGCAAATATAATATATATACCATTAACAATCTCACTATCCTCTTCAAATTATATTAACAAGCAAAGACCAGAGAGCTAGAACACTAACTCAGACCTATACAAAGAAACCCATGTGAATATCTACGATTTATCATCAGAACAAAAATCTAAAAACAAAGAAACAAAATTGAATAACACAAAAAAGAAACCTATAAAGGAAATCTAAGGCGAAGAAACGAGAAACCAATTGAAAACCCTAATCTAGAGAGCGAAGAACAACAAAATCGAAACCAAAACAGATCCAGTTACATAGATTCTTCTTCATACCTGGAGACGAAGAAGGAGAGAGCAAATTCGCAGTAACCCTAATAATTTCGAAACGAAGGAAGTGAACCGGATAATACTACGATTAGTCTTCAACCCCTATCTTATATGTTGGAAACCGACGAGATTTAACGGTTGAGATTCGTTGGTGGTTGTTTCAATCAACGGTTTAGATTTAACAGCGAGATAAACGTCGATGTTACCGATATAGAAAAATAGAAAATTGCACACTTTCCAATTTAGTACTTTATTGGGCCTTATATTACACTCTCAAGCCCATTAAAGATTTACTAAACAATATGTAATTTTGTATTAATCATAAGTATTAAGTACATCATCATTGGTTAGTTTACTCTAATTCAGCGACGCTTGTTCTTGCTCCCGATCAAGAGTGTGAAGTAGAAGAGAACTCTAAAGAAGAATCCCCAAGCTACAGTGATCCATAAGCAATTCCATTTGCTAATCTCTGTGATTCCTTGTTGCTTCAGAATGTCGATTCCCGTCGTAACGCAAGTCTCCGCCGTCACGTTGATCCCCAAAACGCCGCTCATGCTCTTCAGGAGGCTGATTTTCACGGCGGCCGGAACTTGTCCCAGCGGCGAATTGTCGAACATTTGGATCCCACGGACGAAACATTTCGTCGGATCTTCGAATTCGTTCTGTAGAACACCTTCGTAAGGGTATTTCACTAGAGAGAGGTAATGGAACCAGATCCAGTAGACTGGGATTCGATCTCTGGAGATGAAGAATCCGGAGAAGAGGAGGAAATATGCGAGGATTGCTACAACCACCGTGAATCCGATCATCACGTGTGACACTACGCCGGATAAGAACGTCACGAAGGAGCTTCCGGCCCAAAACGCTGTAAGGATTGTGAAGAAGAAGAAGAGGAATCCCTCGGAGCCTCCGGCAAGTCCTACGGCCCAGAATGTTGTGGCCGCGAATGCGGCGGATAAGATTATGAGAGCAGGGATTGAGATTATTGTATGAGCGAGGACGTATGATGATCGCCGGTAAGCGTTGTAAGCTGTTTCTCTCATGAATATGTAGCGTTCTTGTAGAAAGACTGGTATTGCTTCTGCACAGGTGTAGAATGTTGTGGACATTGCGAATGCGAAGAACCCTAAACGTTCTTGTATACCTCTTGGTGAATTGTCTAGTTTCCAGAATATTGTGGCTAGGATGCTTCCGGTGACTAGAACAGCTCCGAGGCGCATTCCGAATAACTCTGGTTGTCTTCTTGAGTTTAGTATAGATCGTTTGCCAATTACGAGCATTTCAGTCCAGAATGGGTTTGCAAAGGTTTGAAATGATGATCTTAGGTTTGTTGCTCCGGAGACGAGTTTGCCTCTGGAGATACTTGCGCTGATTGCATCTTTGAGAGACACATTGGTGTGTCTTCTACTCTGGCTTGAGGTTTGCTTTGCTCGCCATTGCTTGTGGAACTCGACTAGGGCTTTGGTTCCTTCTGGAGAATCTTCCAGCTCACGGATAAGATCGAGTGCGAACTCTGGCTTGTTCTCGTTTTCAGGAATTGGGTGACCGAATTCTGAGAAGAACTGCGGGAGATGTGTTGGGGAGCCGCTGTAAACGGTGTTTCCCCTAGATAGGAAGATTAACTTATCGAGTAAGCCCAAGATTCTGTAACTCGGCTGATGGATTGACATGATAACTATGCTGCCACTTTGTGCGATTCTCTGAAGCACTTTGACAACCATGTAGGCACTGGTAGAGTCGAGACCTGAGGTTGGCTCATCAAGAAAGAGGATAATCGGATCATGGATTATATCGGTTCCAATTGACACCCGTCTCCTTTCTCCTCCAGACACACCTCTGTGCCCCTCATCACCGATCACGGTTTTTGCTGCGTTTCTCAGGCCGAGCTGATCAATCAGAGCTTGAACCCGTGCCTTCTTTTTCTTCTTAGAAAGCGAGCTTGGAAGCCTGAACTCAGCAGAAAACATCAAAGTTTCTTCCACGGTGAGCATCGGGAACAGAAGATCATCTTGCATCACATAAGCCGATATGACTTTATGCAGGCTGGATTCAAGAACTTCCCCATTTAGAGTAATATCACCACGTAGGCTCTCTTTTGAAATCCGATTGGCTAATGCATCGATAAGCGTTGATTTCCCTGACCCGCTCGCTCCAAGAATGGCCATCATCTCTCCTTCCCGAGCTTCACCAGAAATACCATTCAGCAGCACCTTAGTATTCATCTCCATATCATTACCATTAAAAGGCGAATTACCGCAACAAGCGAAGGGCTTAAACTTCTTCTGGATCTTCACACTATAAGTCAAGTCTTTGAAGGAAAGAACAAACGGAGAAGAAGAAGGCACGCAAGAAGACGGAACCGAGGCCCAGAAATTGGAGGCAACTGCAACATCCAAAGCCCGACTCTGGTCATCCCCCTCATCTTCCACACTCATGAGAAGTTCTGCAAGTGTGACAGACACCCGCGCCGTGTCTCTCTGACATCTCTGAAGCTCCACTGACTTATGGATATTGTAAAACAGAGGGAGGCCATCGCCATTGGCCCGTCTGGCCGGAGATAATTTACTGAACAAACCAGACATCATGTAAATTATTGTCTGGTTAATGTTTTGGCCTCAGGTAATGTGTCTAAAGGCCTTTACCCACAGAACAATTTTGATCGACTTTATAGGATATTTGGATGGAAGAATGAGAGAGAGAAACTTGTCAATTAGTTTGGTGATCTCTAAGTATCTAACTTTGAGTTGTTTTGGGTTTTGTAGCTTTTGATATATACATACATAGCCTTTGTTTATATTTTCGTATGTATATAAACTGAAGTTAAGAGTAGGTGAGGAGTTGGGCAAATCCATCCACATTTTTCCATTATTGTATGTATTTTTTTCTTGGGGCTTAAGGTACTCTGTAAAAAAATCCTATTTTAGGTGGTTTTTGTTCACACTGTGAAATTTTTTACTACATGGAATTACGTGTTTATCTCATTTGTATTTAATTTATCCGGATTTTATGGAATTGCAATAAGAAAAAAGGGGCAAAAAAGTATATCATATGTGACATATCAGGAATATAATTTCTTCTTGTAATTGTCCATCTATGTCACGAATTTTTTAATCTTTTGTATATTATAGTCACGAGTTTTCTATATTCACTCACAAGCTCTAATAACACTTGTTTTAAACAAGTTGAGGATTGTTTTTCGGTGTGACAATCCATATTTTGACTAGGGGTTATTTGGATTTCTAGCTTTTTGAATCAGTGAATATCTTCGTTAAGTAACTAAATCATGCTAGAAAAATACTTTGTATTCTATCAAAATCAAATCATTCAACATTTTGAACATTTATTTAGCAGTTATTAATTAAATTTGTAGCAATTAGTTAGTATCAAACACCTAGGATATTCTCATAATTATGATTTTGGCATGGTACTATACTAGATTCAAGTAAGGCATGTCATGCCTAATGAAGCTAATGGCGTGTATTTGTTTAATCATGAACACCTTACTAGTCATATAAAGTGTAAGTGAAGCCTTTCAAAAACAAGAAAAAAATGTATGATGGAAGTCATATGGATTTGTACAGATGATTGATGTAAAATACAGGAAATGAATGTGAAAATTATGGCATTAAAACGTGGAGACGTTTGGCTTTTAATTTGATGTTGTAGAGCTACAAACGAAAACCCAACAAAAATTGTCGTTAGGAATATGTAATATAAAGTTTAACGTGATGAGTTAGATTTAGGCATATGGAAGTTTGGTTTGGCTGTTATATCTGTTTTCTTGATTATTTTACTTTTATAAATCTATTCCTACAAGAGATCTCAAGAGTTATAGAAAACTATATAAATAGTACCATCATGTTGATTTATATGAGGCCTGTCTCTATCAAGTTGAATTAATGAAATACATACTTTATGGAATGTACACCTAAATAGTGTTTCACATAGAGAATTGAGTTAATATTATTCTGGTTAAGTTTAGTAAGACTTTCTCTCTGTAAAGTTTGTTTTGACATTTTGTGTTTGGTAGAGGATATTTTGCTAAGTTTCCCATTTTAAAATTTGTAACACTTTGAGGTTTGTTAGGCAGGACTTAAGATTAAGGAATCGACTCCCTCAGGTTTGACATTTTGTTCAATTCTAAGATTTGTTAGATGATACGAGAAATTTTTACTGTCTTGAAGAGTAGTAGCATGAGAGCCATCTCTAGGCATAACATTTTTTGGGCTCTTATGGGCCCATACTGGGTAATCCAGCTGTGAATCGAGGAAGAATGAGCGCTATCATCTCTAATATTGTTTTGGGCTCCATACTGGGGCATCCAACTGTTAAAAGGCCTCTAGGAGTTTTTTTCTTTTCTTTCCACATTTGCTTAAAGTTCTGTGTATGTTTCATCAATTGAATCTATACAAAATTACAAAGGGAAAAAACCCGAAAAAACCGCCATTTATTTTTTATTTGGCCGTTTAATACACGTAGTTTTTAATTTGGAATAAAAATACTTCGTTTATTAAATTTTGTCTTAAAAAATATTCATGTTATAAACGGTGTCGAAATCTTACCTACGAGTTAACAGCCGTTAACACAAGTAACGGAATCATTAACCAGAGTTAAAAGTTAACCCCAGGTAATTATAAAGATATATACAGCATGTTCGAAGATATTGACAGTATTATTTCCGTGGTCTGTTGGTAACAAGTGAATTTTGATACCCACATAACCAGGGTTCGAAGCCACCAACTGAAGCTTTTTTTTTTTTGGTCCTTTTTCAGATCCGGTGATGACGGGATGAGGAGGATTTGCTTATCGAAGTCTTCAGATCCTAGATTAGCTTCCGTTTCGCTTCGATTACCTTCGATTTCTTCATTCGGAGCATGAATACGCGAAGCTTATTGGGGGATTATCCCATTCTCTTCTCTCTGATTTCTTCATTGTTGCAGAAGAAGAAATCTGTTCAGATTTTGGTTCCAAAATTGTTGAGATAGTTTTGGCTTTCATTGGTGATGATTGGAATTTTCTTCTTGTGTGTCCATTACGTATGGTGGTGGTTCCGGTGGATTCGCCGGTGGATGAGAGGAGGAGAAAATCAAAAAACGATTCGTCGTCACCGGATCTGAATAAGGACAAACAGAAAAAAAAAAAAAAAAAAAGCATCAATGGGGTGTTTCGTACCCGTGATATGTGGGTAACAACACTCACCAATTACCACCAGGCGACAGTAATATGTGTGCAAATAAAGTCAAACATGTTGCATATATCTTTATAATTACGTAGGGTTAACTTTTAACTCTGGTTAGTGATTCCGTTACTTGTGTTAACGGCTGTTAACTCGTAGGTAAGATTCCGCCACCGTTTATAACATGAATATTTTTTAAGGCAAAATTTAATAAACGAAGTATTTTTATTCCAAATTAAAAAGTACGTGTATTAAACGGCCAAATAAAAAATAAATGGCGGTTTTTTTCGGGTTTTTTCCCAAATTACAAATCAAATGCAAATCACATTAATAATCCCCTCACTAGAAGAATATATATATATATAATTTTTTTGCATATATTATAAACAATTAGTGAAATTGTTTAATTAGATTATCTGATAATCACATATAGATTTTGGAACATATATATTGCTCTCTAACTAAAAAAATAAAAATAAAAAAGAGAGCGAAGGATTGCATCAAGTAATCGCCGTGTAACTAACTACTTTTGTTGCATCACCATCGCTCTTACGTTTGAATCTATCCAGATCCAAAGCTCTTCTTCTTCCCGGCAATTCTGAGATCCCATTTTCACCGGTGACGAGCTCTAATCGGAGAACGATGAAGCAGCTTCACAAGCAAATGAGCTCGAAGCGTGACGAAGAAACCATTCCCATGAGCCAATCCAGTCCTTACTCTCCCAAAACTCTAAAGCATCCCAGATCTCTTCCCAGATCGCTTCACTATCTCTTCCGTGAACAACGACTCCTCTTTATCCTCGTCGGGATCTTGATCGGATCCACTTTCTTCATCCTTCAGCCTTCTCTCTCTCGTTTAGGCGCCGCTGAGTCTACCTCGTTAATCACCAGATCTGTTTCCTACGCCGTCAGCGATTCCCCGCCTTCCATGAAGACTTTTAATTCCGGCGGCGGAGGTAGAACCGGTCGTGTTCCCGTCGGCATCGGACGGAAGAGACTGAGAATCGTTGTCACCGGTGGAGCTGGTTTCGTCGGTAGCCATCTTGTTGATAAGCTTATCGGTAGGGGAGATGAAGTGATCGTGATTGATAACTTCTTCACTGGTAGGAAGGAGAATTTGGTTCATCTGTTCTCGAATCCTAGATTTGAGCTTATTCGACACGATGTTGTTGAGCCAATCCTCCTTGAGGTCGATCACATTTACCATTTAGCTTGCCCAGCTTCACCTGTTCATTACAAGTATAATCCAGTGAAGACTATCATATCCTTTTGATTACTCTTATATCTGGCATCGTTTTGCTACTGCTGATCGTGATTTGCAAGTTCTGATTCCAAATCCACTATTAAAAATTAGGCAATATTAGCTTGGTGATCATTGTTATTAGCATCCAGTTGATAGGCTTCTGATACTTTACTTGCATCTTAGTAGAATCTCTTACAATGATTGGGATATTTCGTGATGAAATGCTTGCATTGGGAATGTGTTTTTCTCTCTTGGTGGTATGAGGATTCTGGTTGATCTTTAACCATAGTTTTACAAGACAAATGTAATGGGCACTCTCAATATGTTGGGTCTTGCAAAGAGAGTTGGGGCAAGGTTTCTGCTCACCAGCACAAGTGAAGTCTATGGAGATCCCCTTGAGCATCCACAGAAAGAGACTTACTGGGGAAACGTGAACCCAATCGGTGAGTTGTAGAATTCTGTATTTGCTCCTGAGTTCATGAGATATGTAAACGAGAGGTTGATCACTAATTGCTGTTATCTTTTTATAGGTGAGAGGAGTTGCTATGATGAAGGAAAGCGTACTGCAGAAACCCTGGCCATGGATTATCACAGAGGTGCAGGTGTAGAGGTAACTTTTCATAATCACCCCATGGGTTATATGTTTATATGTTGGAAGCTCTTAGCTCACTTGATGGAGAACTTATACAATCTGCAACTCATACTCTCATTCACACATGAAATTTTCTATCCATTAGTTTCCAAATCATCTCCCTGCTGTTTATCAAGATGTTTACATTTGATGATGTTTCTTCTTCTTTTTGTTTCCAATGTTGGAATATTTAGAACTGATGACCATTTTTGTCCAAATCACGGATATAAGAGTGATCTCTAACTGCATTTTCAATTTTCAGGTCAGAATAGCTCGTATTTTCAACACATATGGACCCAGAATGTGCCTTGATGATGGGCGTGTTGTTAGTAATTTTGTTGCCCAGGTTTAGCTCCTTCATCAACATAAAGCCAACTGTTTTCGTATAAAGCCTTTTTTCAACACTCTGACAGAACTATGGCTTATATCTATGCAGACCATCCGCAAACACCCAATGACTGTTTATGGTGATGGAAAACAAACTCGTAGCTTTCAATATGTATCTGACTTGGTACGTAACAACCTCATTTTCAGTACACATTGCTCTATGATTGATTTCTTCAAGCAGTGAAAAAAGATCTATTGCCTTGATATATAACAAGATTTCTCTTTCTAGGTGGAGGGACTTGTAGCGTTAATGGAAAACGATCACGTAGGACCCTTCAACCTTGGTAACCCTGGAGAATTCACAATGCTTGAACTTGCAGAGGTTTGCTTTACTTTTACCATCTTCCTTTTACTTCACTGCAAAAAGAGAAATGAAACCCAAATAAAAAGTTTAGCCCTGGTCATTCAGTTTTCGATTTGGTTTAGTTTTGTGAAGAATCTGTCCAAACTTCTATTTTTTTTTAATTGTTTCATCTAAAGAAAGTTTGGTTCGGTTTTAGTTTGAAGGAATCCAGTTTGATATGGTTTGTTATATACGTCCTTAGAAATCTGCATCAACATTTCAGATGTCTTATAAAGTAACTCAGTTTGTTTTGGAATCTTACTATCATAATCAACAAGAAACGCTCCATTCTGTGTATGAAATGGTAACTTTGTGTGCAGGTGGTTAAGGAGGTGATCGATCCAAGCGCGACCATAGAGTTCAAACCAAACACAGCGGACGATCCTCACAAGAGGAAACCAGACATAAGCAAAGCAAAGGAACTGTTGAACTGGGAACCAAAGATCTCTCTGCGAGAAGGTCTGCCTCGCATGGTTAGTGACTTCCGTAACCGAATCTTAAACGAAGACGAAGGTAAAGGTCTCTAAGTCGGTCACACGGAGATAGAGTATTATCCTTCTTCTGCTTTGATTTGATATATGTATAGTCTCTTTTTCAAGAGATCTGCTAAGTCTTTTTGTTCTCTTTTTTTTTTTTTTGGTTCTTTCTCCAAGACACAGATTTACTACTTATTAGCTAATGTTTCGACTCAAAAGGGATTTTGTCACTGGGCCATTTACCAGTAGGCTCAATTTAAGTGGAAAGGTATTGATATAAATATCGCTCGGTTCATACAAAGATTAGCCTTTGTACTCTTTACATAATTTTTTTTTTTTGGTTTTAATGTTACACATTATATTTGTTTAGATATGCATTAGTATACTCTCTCGGTTTATACAAAAAATAGCTTTTCGAATCCTATACTATTATTTGGGGAGTACACTTTATAAGATACCCTTAACTAACCTTCTATTTTGTAAGAATTTACTTAAGAATACCATTAGAAATAAAATTTTATAGAGTAAATTAATTCAACTCATTAAGGATAAACAAGTCAAATACTATTTTATGCAATTTAATTAATTTAATTTAATTATAAAAACGAAAATCTATTATTAATTTTTTAAAAAAGAATGATCAATCAAAATGAACATATAAGATTTGATATCTAACTTATCATATTAATTTGTTATTAATCATTATACTTCACCTCTCATCTTTATATTATTCTATTTCTATAAAATAAATAAATTATTATATCATCTACATAATAATAAAAAGTAAATTTTTTTCCGCATATACAAAGGTTTTAATTTTTAAAAACGAATATAAATTGTTCAATGTATGAAAAAACAAATTTAACGGGTCAAAAATTCATATTTGAGTAATATATTCCTTTTTTTAATATCATCAATACTTAATAGATCAAAAAGTAAAGAAATATAAATACTCTAATTTGATTTTTTGAAACAAATATTTATAATAGGCGGCGGGTTAAATATAATGTATTATATGATGAAATGAGTTATGATCCTTATAACTATTTGAATATTTATATTTAATTTCGAATATATATTTTTTTAAATTCATAATTTTACATACTACAATAAAAATTTTAAAGATTTTAATTTGGAACATTTTAAAAAAGTTTAATTTAATATATTAAAGAATATCATAAATATTTAATAGATTAAAAAGATAAAAAAATTATAAATACTAATTTAATTTTCTAAAAAGATATGTTTAATATATTTATAGTAGGCGGCGGGTTAAAAATAATGTATTATATGATAGAAAGTTATGATCCTTATAATAGACGACATTTTAAGATTTTATGATGAGATGAGTTAAATAAGGTTTGACACTTCTAAATATTTGAAAATTTAATTCTGCAAGCAATTTTGGAAATAATGAATAATAGATTGTGCCACAATATTTTCATAGGGATTGTAAAATGAAAATATAGACTCCACACACGGATCGAGTTTGGTATTATTATATACCAAATATATGTTCATAACATATTCGATTATGTGAATAATTGGTAAATTTCGTAATTACCTCAAACAAATCTCTATTTCAACAACCAATGAATTAGAATTTGAAAAAATAATTTCCTAAATTAATTCAAAATAATAGGTAACTTTTTTAACTAATTCAAAATAATCTACGTTTTAGATGCGATTCATTTATGATATTTTGATTTTTTGATCTAACTAAATTATATGCACTCTCATTTTGTGGTTGTTAAACATAAAGTAACACATTGTTCAAACAATATTATTTTTTTTGAAAATAATATTATTTTCTGTTTTCATATCTTTAAAAAATATATCCATAATTGAGGATTACAGAAAAATAAAAATATATTCATTCTAATATGATATATATATGGACTGACATAAAACAATTAATATTTTTTTACTTACTATTATAATATATCACTATTTTATTCTATAACTATATAATATATAAATTTTGTAATAAATGAAATTCAACCCGTACTATAGTACGGATGATGATCTAGTAATTTTTAAAACGACATCCGATGGACCCTTCTTGTGTTTAATATGTCTCGGTTGTTTGTTTGCGTTTGTATTTATCAATATATTTTGATTCAAATGTTTCCAAAAAAAGTTAGTATCTTAAACGAAAAGAAAGGTTTCTAATTATTTTTGTTGTTTGCATTTACAATTTACGAAGACATTGTACTAAAAACTTTCAAATGTTCCATATTTTAAAAGAAAAATCGAAAAGTAAAAATTCGCATTTACTAGTTTTTGAATAAATCGAGGCATTTATGCAAATGGCAGCTGAAAAATTAGTTGTGGCCTTGTGGGCATATCTGTTTCCGCTTCGGATTCTGTTGGGTAGAGCGATTCAGTCTGTTAGAACTTCAGATATAAAGGAATCATTCACTTTATAATAAATTTCTATATTCATTTGCACTTCTTCTACCTTCAGTTTAAAATAAAGAAACGTGTAATTAAAGTCTTTTCCTTTACCCATTCTATTAATTCCACTTTCTGAAACAGAAACTGATCGGTCGAATTCAATATACAACATTTGAATATATCCAAGAGAATAATGTAATGTAGTACATAAATATCCCAATAGTGACATCTCAACTTCTAATACGTTTTATGTGGACAATACAAGAGCGTTTCTACTCAACTCTCTGTTACTCTCTGTTACACACACTAACACACTCATGTGACACACTGACGCATATTTATCAATTTACACATTTATACATATATGTAACGTATATGTGACTCTCTTTTTTGTTTGTATATATTAATAAGCTTTTGTTTTTGCCATAAAACATGAAAGCCAATATGTTTTATTGTGCATCGCAAGCATCGACCGCTACGGCTAACGACGAACGTACCGTCACCGCTCGAGCCATCGACCGTCATAACCCGATTATTAAAGATGGTAGGAGATCTTTCACTGCACCGTGTTCCTCCGGGGATGACTACGTTGCTCCCTACCGTCAGCTTTCCAAAATTACTAGAATACCCTCCTCCTCCGGCGACGGGAAGAGTGTTCAGGTGGATAAAGCAAGGAGGAGCAATTCAGGGTCGTTGATGAAGCTGATTAGCAGTGACGTCAGCTTAGCTAGGAAGAGTTTTGGTTGTGTTGTTGCAACGCCCAAAACTCCTCCCGGTTCAACTAGGTATCTTCTGGGAACCGACCCTGTTTCTTTAGCCGGGTCTACGGGTCAGGATACGGTTGCAACGGTGGAGGGTGAAGCTTCTGGGCCAAAAAGAGGCTCTTCAGGTGCCGTAGAAGAGAAGAAGAAGTCTTCTGGTTCAGGTTCAGATCAGGCAAGTAAAGTAAAGTTGTCTTTTTACCGTACATGTGGCATGAACGTAAATTAAAAAAAATTGGAGGGTGATTTATGTCGTGGCTTTTGGACTGCAGGTGGTAGTTCTTAGAGTGTCTCTTCACTGTCACTGCAGAGGCTGTCAAGGCAAAGTGAAGAAACATCTATCCAAAATGCAAGGTGAATCCTCTGTTTTCACTGTTTTTATCCTCTATTGTTACAGTATTTATGTTACTTGTTTTTCTTATCAACAGCAGCAAATATACATATTTTACTTCTGTTAGTATAAGAGATCAAATTACCAAACTATAGGCAAGTTTTTGTGCAAACACATCTTTTGGTTTTAAGTTCTTTTGGTAGCAAAGATTAAGTCGGGTACGGGTCGGACCTATAGCTTTAATGAGTAATAATGCATTGTCACTATACGTGTAACATATCTGATTATGTTTATAAAATTATCTCTTTATATTCAAAAATGTGAAAATGATATTTCTAATATAATATTATATTTGTTAAAGTTTCTATAAAATATCATGAAAATATTATCTTTTTCCTTCATCCTGAAGATATTATATATGATATCAATTTAATGTAAAGTAAAAAGGATATTTTGGGTTTGGTGAGGATACCCCAAATGATTTGGGCCAAATCCATAGATTGTAATCTTGTATCTCTGAACTAGTTTGTTTATGTACAATTCTAAATGGGTTTAATTAAGCTCATTATAATGGTTTTTTTTGGCAATAAATAGGTGTGACATCCTTCAATATAGATTTTGCATCAAAGAATGTAACTGTGACTGGAGACATCACTCCTTTGGAAGTATTGGGTTGCCTCTCAAAGGTCAAAAATGCCCAATTCTGGACACCACCTCCATCCATAATCCCAAGGGCAAATCCGGAAACCTAAAAGAATCACACTTTTGTGTATTTGTATTGTCTTCCTCTCATTTGTTTGAATCAGATCAATGGTAAAATGTTGAGACTTTCCTACTTTTATGATGAAACTATCATTACAGGGACACATGCTTCTTTATGATGATATTGTCATTACATATTGCATTATCCTGTTTTTTTTTTTCCCCTTAAACTATGTAACAGAGATATTATTTAACTTTCTAGAAGATTGCACCTACCACAAGCTCTGTTATGAGTTCATCTGTCAGCATTTCTTCAATCTCTCTACCTATGATTTCAACGTCATCTCCTAAGTTCAGCCACTGCAACTCCTTCTCCTCCACATCATGTTTGCTTGGTTTCTCATCTTTTCTTGTGACCAAATCTCGAAGAGTCTCTTGTATCCTGTTTGCATCCCATTTCGGGCATACCCTTGTGGATTTAACCCAAGGGTGTGGATCCGAAAACTGCTTTAACATATGGAGTACTTCTCTGCTGATCTGGTCAAAAAGAAGCTTCCTTTCTAACCGGGTTGAGGTTTTCACGCTGGAGTACTTTTTCTCGAGATCCTCAAACAAGGATGGATCTACAGGTGTTGTTGCCATGACATTGTTGTGGTCTGAGCCACTGAAACTGGAGTTGGCTAGGAGATCAACTAAGTATAATGACTTCCAGTCTTCTTCTCCGAGCTCATGGGTAATCATCGCCTCATCAGTTATTGTGGATGACTCCTCTTGATCTGTGTCTTCATCACTCGAAACGAGCATGCCACCTTCATTGTAAGTAGCTGACTCTAGTTTGAGGAGTTGAAGTTGCATCCTGAGTCCTGGAACGTAGAGATAACAGTTAACACGTCAAAACATTTACCCTGTGGATCGTTGATCTACCCCCAGCAATGAGTTAGACTAGCACCAATTGTTACACTTGAACCTTAAACAATTTTAATGATACGGAAATATTATAATGTACGAAATGAATAGAAAGCACTGACTGACTACCTTGGAGATCCGCGCTAACACTCTCAAAGCATTCGGAACCTGATGAAACATCATAGTCGAAAGAAGCTTCTAGAACTGAAACTGGACTTGGTTGATCTCCTTCTTTTAAGCTTTCATGAGACTGTGGCTCAGGAACCGAAGAATGATTCACATCTTCAGTTGTCCTCCTTGAGATATCCTAGAACATCAGTAAATAATAAGATATCTGTCACTACAAAAACCTGTATATTCTAGTTTACGAATTGAGATGTAAACAGATGATCTAGAGCACAGACACATGATCTTGAAAAATCATGCTCACTTACAGGGTCAGTTACCGAGGTGACAGTTGACAAATCTAGAGCCTCAGAAGACATTGCTGTCTTGATATCATCAGAAGCTGAACTATCCTCAGTGTCTGAATTTGAATCTCCTGAGAAACTGCTACGCGCTTTTAAAGGAGAGAGCTTTTCTTTTGGAACCCCGTGGTTCATATAAACGAACTTGCTTAAACTTGGGCTAATGTTGACCTCTGGCGAACTATTGTATGATGAATGAGATTTGTTACTGCCGGGTCTAGATTTGCTTGAGAAGGAAGGCTCTCCATGATGAGAAGGATTCCCCTGCACTAATCCATCTCGATTGATCAACCCCTTAGGCAACACTATGGTGTAACCACAAGTGCTTTCCTGGTTCATGATGGTTTTGGATTTTGAAAAACTTCTTGAGCAGGATCCTTTCCAACCATCCCTACTGCTGATTCCAACCGGTTCTGGCAATTCAGACCACTGAATGTTTTTCTCAAATCTTTTACTAATCCCATCTTCGAAACTGAGTCCATTAAAACTTGCTGGCCTTGCCTCCCTATCTGAAGTTGCAAGCATTTCGGCCAATGTGCCACTTCTACTAATTTCTATCTCATGCTCAAACTTGTGTGTTAGCTTCCATCTCTCTGACAGTCTCCTCTTGGCTTCCCTACTCACAGATGATGTTGTTGACTTGGAAGGCAAAGATCGATGGTAGTTCCTACGGTGAAAGGCGGTTCTTGTTCCTGAAGTTACTGGCACTAGCTCTGATTCACTTGCAGAGTCACTCCCTGATGAGCTTTCATCCCCTGCATATCCTCTAAATCCTGAAGTCTCAAAACTCATGGCACTACCATTGGCACAGCTCGCCTTCCTTTGCCTAGACATTATTTTGGCCATTTCTCCAGAATCTCTTGAATTCTGTCTTGAAAGGCGGACACTTTCATTACTTTTCTGCCTGCCATGATTGGTGGTGCATGGAAGCCTACGATCTGCTCTGAACTCATCGGAAGAAGAGCTTGGCGATGCAAAAGTTCTACCAGCATAACGTGGCTCCCCGAGGTTAGGTTTCAGAACAACAATCTTGGTTGGCTGCAACTCACTCCTCTTTCTCAGCTCCTCATTTGGTAAGTCAATCGTGTCATAAGAAGTATGCCTAGAATGAGAACGGCTAGGACAACCGCTACCACCACCACCATGCCGATGAGGTGACTGATGACTCTTCCTCAACAAGTCCCTATCAACTTTCTGAGTTTTCACACTATCCACATGCCTCTGGCTGTTTGGCGACTTCAAGGATGGTGCTTGACTGTACTGTGGCTTGTGAGGTGTGCTTTGAAGATCATGCAGATGTTTTGTAAATAATGAATCTGGGTGCTGAAGAAACTTCAGTAAGAGGTCTTTGTTAGAGTCTAGAGCCTCAAGGGCATCATTAAACTCTTTCGAATGACGAAGTTTATCATCTGTTGATAGCCGCTTAGCCTCCATGAACTTCTGTCGTATGAATGCCATCTCCGCCTGAGTTAGATTTGCATTCACTCTCCCCTGATGATACAAGTTTCTATTGCTCTCTGCCATCTTTGCATCCAAAACTTCGAAAACATCTTTAAACTTTTGATCACCCTTTGAGCGCCTTCCAACAGATTTATTACCATCATAAGAACTGCCTCCACCACTCCTGCCTTGCTGACTCTCCATAGACTTTTGCTGCCTATGAGAAGAACTCTGAGAAGGCAAAACATCGAGACCCATCAATCTCGCTATAATGCTTGGTGATCTCTTTTTAGATTCCTTCTGCTTTGACATTTCTTGTGCCAACAAACTTTTCATTGGTACACCAGTAGCAAAATCTTGCTGCAACAACAATATGAGCAACAAGTCACTTTCAAACAACAACAGGAACCAAACATTTCCTCACAGATATCTTAAAAGAGTAATAATAATCCATACCTTGTTTTCACTCAAAGCTTCACAAAGACAAGAGTTGAATTCAGAAGAAGACCTTGGAGATTTGAGTTTCTGACTCTTCTGTTTCTTTCCTGAAAAATGAATGACTTTTTAGGATTCTCAATTTGTAAAGTCGATTGCTTTACAACGGAAGAAACTTTAATAAAAAAAAAAATGGAAACTTGGGAGACAAAAAGAGTAATTTGTAGCACAATAAGTGGAGGAAGAAGAACATAAAAACACAATAAAGCACTGAGGTTAAGCAAAAGCACTCATTACATGTAAATTAGAATCATTAACTCTGTTGAAAAAAATGAAATTTTTAACAAACAAACCAAATCATGACACTACCCAACAAACACTGTCCTGAGATTATTTAAAAAAAGCTTCTCTTTACTTTATCATCAAAAAAAAAAAAGGTAGCAATCTCATCTTCTTCTATCTACCCACTCTGCTTTAAAAACTCTAGTTTTCCACAAGAAACAAATGAACATGTCTTTGTTTTTTAGCTCAAGGTTTTATAAAATACATTTCTTTATAGTTTTAGAAGTAACCAATTAGGGTATTGATGACCTCCATTACCAGATTCTCGAACAACCCGAAGAAGGAAACAAAACAAAAATCAGTAAATGCTTTGGTTTGGGTTTGCTCAGAAAAATCTCGGAAGTTTTACTAAAATATTTATAAAATTGACCAACAAAAATACAAAATTTGCTCTTTAGAACAAACGAAACGCATCAAATCGGCGTTTTCTTTTCAACCAAACAGAAACGGAAACAAAAAACGCGAGAGAGAGGAGAAACTGTAACCTTGATGAGAAGTGGGCACTGTTGAAGAAGCTAATCGATCTCGAGAACTCAGGTCGCTGAGTCGAAATTTGTTCATCTTTCACTCACTGTTCACCTCCGGAGAAAACATTTCACGGAGCTTTGAGGGGAAAAGAGACAAATAGGTGAATCTAGATCGGGAAATTTACTGGGTTAGAGAAAATCAGAGGAAGATTCGGAAGAATCTTAACTCCTGAGAAGAAATGCAGACGATTCTCTGGGATTAGAGGGAGATCTAAGACGAGAGAAGGTATACGAGAAGAAATTAAACGATTAGAGAAGAAATTGAGTGAAAGAGAGAGAGAGAAATGGAGGAGAAGAACGAACCAGACGACGGAGAAAAGAGGAAATGGGAAATGGTTTCAGAGTTTATTTGAAAGTTCAAATTTTCTTATTCTTTTTGTTTTTTAAAAAAGTAGTAAAAATGAAAAAAGGGTAAATGGGAAAGGGGCGTGTTTGGTACTATTATACTTACTGAGTTCTGTGCATCCGTAATTTGCTGCCACTTGTCTCTCCCCTTCCATTTTCCGTCTTCTTTTCTTTTGTCGTACCGTCCGATTTTTTTTTAAATACTAGTTTGTATACAATAATCAACAAATTGGAATTATTTATCAAGATTACTAACGTTTAGAAAGAACAAAATACCCTAGTTTGCTGTATGTTTTGGTCCTTTATCATGATAATTTGTAGGAAACGATATTTTCCCAAATAAAAATCTTTAGGTTAATTATATAATTAAGTTTACATAACTCAAATTAAAACTTGTTCAATTCTCGAAATTCGATTGCATATGTATTAGTAATTTGTAGTCAAAGCAAAAAATTTATAATTCTTTTTTTTATCCATCTAACAAGTGAGTTAAAATCGCCAACTTATATGTTTTACCCTTATATAAGATTTTAAGAAAAAGTTTCAAATTTATGTACTAAGCCGATGAATTGATAATTTGATTCATACTTGAATCAAGAATAATTTATATTAACCTCTAACCGTAGTCTTAGCTTGTCTACAAGTCTCTTCCTCGAGAAGATTAGGTTAAGCAGACTT